ATTCTCTGGATGAACACATTTTCAGTGAGCTGGCAGCTTGTCAGATTTGTGAAAACAGCAGCTAGTGAGTCCACTCAGAACATGTAAACAAGCCACAACAGAATGCAACATCTTTAGTGTTCTTTCACTGCTTGATTTTCCTGTCACAGCTCTCTGTATTGTTTACTGATTAGTTTCCCCAGCTGTAGACTGTTAGGTAAATACAGTGAACTAAGCAGAGGAGCATCTAAATCTCAGTCGGTCCGTGTTTACATATGCAGTAACTATGCCCTTTACACAAGTACAAATGACTCCTCAGTACTAATGTAGGTCTAAGTCCTCTTAGTTTGATCAGTGAGTCCAACAGATAAAGCCCTTACAGAAAAGAAGACCCTTAAGCCCCTGAATAGACAGTCAGGTAAATAATTCCTCCTCTGTGCTCTCAAGAGTATGTAGATGTGCTTTGCCTCCATTACCATGTAAATGCTCCATTTTTCTATACCCCTCTGACACCTCACTAACAATTATTACAGTGACTGAGGTCACAGACATACAGCATTTTTTGCTTAAAGCGAAAATATTGTAAGACAGTGCTATAAAAAATCTACAGCAACAGAAGAAGCCCCAGAGTGTAGTTTGATGGCCCTCATAAGCCATCGGATTCAGCAAACTTTAGTGAGTCAAAAAGGGCTGGGGATTAATTTAAACGACGGCTATTGATTGAAGCATTACACCTTCAGACTGCCTGAGAGGAATTCAACTGTTTTAGAGTGTGCCTAAAATAACAAGTGGTCTCTGCAGCAGGACATGCAGGGAGGTGGTACATTACCACCTTGGCAAGGTAAGCTGAACCTTCACCTGGAGGCCTGCAGCGATGCCTCAGCTCAAAGCTCTCACAGCAGCCTCAGCAGCTAAATCACAAGCAAGATAGCCAAAGGAGAAGAGAGGGCCTTTTACTGCTGGGACACCCACGGGAGGCTTTGATGTGGGATGTATGTTCGTATGATGTCAAGGACATGCCCCTCTCCTTGCATATCATTTCATCTAAGTTTATAACATTGATATGATAAAAGCAGCAGTGTGTGGAATCTCAATCACATTAGAGTGGAACTGTGCAAGTTTATATTAAAGGGTTTATTGTGTAGCAGTCAGCTGCATCTTAAAACACTTCTTAAAGGAGTAGTTTTGATGTGAACACAAATCTGCAGCCAGAGGCCGGTGGAGTGCTGGTCCTGGTGAAGCTGTTTATATGATTATACAGAGCTGTGCACAGACAAAATAGCAGAGCATAGAATTTGTGAGATTATAAACTGCACAGTACAATAGTAACACAACACCAGACATTTTCTTATCTCCCTTCCTTCATAAAATTGAGAAATTTGAGCTCATCACACTTGAACTCCTCCACTCTGGATACAGACTCTGGATACTTAGATTAGTGTATTAGAATGTCTGATGAACCCAGCGCAGAAAATAAGCTATACAACCATATCCTGCTAAATACATTCAGACTAGCTTCCTTCTGATTGCTTCTAATCATGTAAAACTTGAATGGGGTTTGTAATGAACTCACTGGGAGCTGTGGTCATGAACCTCTCTGCTGTCTGCACAGTTACTGCTACACTGAGTAACTGGAAGCATTTGGATTGCATCAATGTTAAATAATCATCAAAATACAAGCAAAAACAGGTAAATGGATGGACAGACTGGGTCTGAACCAATCCGAGTTAGTGGAAGAAGAGAGAGGTGAGGGAGATGAAGCCACATACAGTAGAACCACAATGAGCTGCTCCACATGTATAAGGATGACAGAGCCTTCTTTATCTCACTGACATTTCAGCTATTTAGAACAGGTTTGGTTTTATTTAATACTGTAGTGTTTTCACAACTCCATATAAAACATTCAAGCATTAAAACAGAAAGTACTGGACATATCGTGTTTTGAATACGGGACAATACTGTATTATAAAGGTGGCAATTTTCCATGACTACTGCCTGCTCAGTTCAGCCAGCTCGGCATAATAAGCCATAAGAAGACATGGTATTATAGGCTAACATTTCTGATACCAAAGTGGGCATTCACTAATGCAAAATGTTGAAAAATGGAGCTTCTGTGGTCTCACAAAATATCAGAATAGAAACAAATTTGGGGTTGTAGCTGACTGTGTTTTTAGTGAAGAGTAAGTAGTAACATCAAACTGGGCTAAGGTGACACCGGTAGGTACACTTATATGGTGTTTACGTGCAGCAGGTGTGCTGACAATTATTTGCAGGCTTGTTCAACAAGCTATAGTGCATGCTCATGTTTGTAATTTAGATAAGAAGGAGACTTTAGCAAGAAAGCTAATGTGTATTGTTGTTCAGAGTCCATGGCTCTGTGTTGTGTAGAGGCTGCTGTCTGGCTAATAGCGGTCCAAATGGACTTGTAAATACACCCTTTGCAAAGCGGAGCAAGTTAGGTGTATATGGAGCCCATTTTCACAGTAGAAGAGAAACTGCAGAGTATGGCTGTGTCATCTCCAGTCCAGCTAACAGCAGCTGGCGAAGGGGTAAGTGCAAATAAATACATAAGATGTTGTTAATCAACCAGTCTAAAGTTATCTATGTGTAAGATCGTGTTCAAAAACAAAAACAGACAAATTTGTTTCATACAGCCTGTACCTTTGAAAAATACTGACCCAAATTGGCTCAGTGAGACAGCTGAAGCTTCATTTGAGCCTCAGACAAACTTTGGAGTGCATTTTTGCACAGAACAAGGGCTGTGTATTTTGTCCCTCAGCTTTTACAGTATAGTCACATTACAGGTGGAAACATTCAGGGTCGGTGTGGAGAGCAGGAGAATTCACAGTGACTAGGACCTATTCTCACATTCATATGGGCATGTCAATATTGTATTAAGACCAACTTGAAAAATTCTGAAACCATTCTGAAAAACTCTACAACATACTGTTCCTCAAAGAGCATGTAGCGTTCATGTGGGCACCATCTTCAACTAGGAAGTGTACTTTGAAGATATTAGAACAATAATTAGAAACAAGAACAATAAAATGAACAAAACTAATATTTAAATGAAAACATACAAAATAAAGCCAATGAAGTGGATCCTAAGTTTACAGTAGATGATAAATACATGGTATATACCCAACACCAAATGTTAAACTAAAAAACAAATTTGCTCTGGCCTGGTTGTAGAGGGAGTGAGAATTTCTCTCACACTGTGGCTATATCCCAAGTCTCTCATAAGCACTGCTCTTTTCCTCTCTTGCATCTTTTCCTTGCATTTTAGTCCTGCCCACATACTGCAAGATGTGATGGGAAAAATGCAAGGAAAATATGAGAGAGGACTTGAGGGAACACTACTAACGACATGAGACATCCTTTCTCTGAGCCTTCATTTGAAGCTTCCAATCACCAGCTGATTTCTAATAAAGGGGCATGTCAGTTCATGAAAGACTTCCATGAAGGATGGTCTCTTGTATCTTCCACCAGCATGCTTCTCACTTCTTAGAGCAGGAATTAAAGATTTGGAACCATAGGTGTAGTGCTGCCAGAACACATGTGAATGACGCTCTGCTGCTTTTTTTCTCCAAGAAAGGGAAGAAATTATTTGCATAATCCAACTGAAATTCAAAGCATTACATTTTTATGAGAACCTGAAGATCCAGTCTGCAGTAAAGTATATGTCCTGCAAAACGGAACGCTCTAAGTTGTGATGATAAAATTGAAGGTGTGGTGACTGATTCACAATGTCGACTCAAACAATGCATGCTCCCATGCACAGAATTTCCATCCCTGAGTGTTTGTGTGTTTTGTCCAGCCACATATATGATGACATGGATGGTTCACAGCAACACAGTTTAGTGCTGACTACAGAACAAACTCAGATCATCGAGATTGGAGACAGACTAGAGCGTGATCTCCAGGAGCGGCCGTGGAGACAAATACCAGATGTGACGCTCAGCAGCAGAAACAGACTTTACATTGAACTTCAGTGATGCTGGGATTTAAACAGACTGTTTTACCTGTGATTGATCAGCTGTAGGTCTGTGTGACACAAACTGACCAGTTGCCGCCCTGTGCACAGCTGAGCTCTGTGAACATTTAATGTTTGGAGTTGGGTTAACACTGGAGCGGAGAGCATATATGTTCTTATAGATTTAGGAGGATATTAATTTGCCACACCAAGGAATAAAACATTTGACTGTGTGGGCAATTACAGTTGCCACCATAGGAAAAGTGTTTACATGGCCCTCAAAGAAAGGCACTATTTATTGGTGCATGTGCACATATGCGTCAGAGGTGCACTCCAGTACTTCATTAAATAGCACTATACCTCTGCTTGGTATGTCTTCAGTAGGAATGTAAGAACAATCATACAAGTTCCGTGATATATTTACTGAGAAAAAAAAAAAGATGACATGAAACTGCCAGTTCTAAATAAGCTTGTTTAGCTACTGTATGCACAAAAAGGGAAAAGGGAATCATATGTAAAATGCACAAAATGGTACTGTTAAGACCAATAGGTCCGAATTCAAGTTCTGGACTCAAATGCCGGACTTGAACTCGGAAATGTTTTTAAGAAGTTTATTGTACACAGAAGTTCAGGAAATGGCGAGAACAAGACAGTCACAATAGTGATTCTCTCTTGGCAGGTACTGATCCAAATAGGGTTGAAGCAAGCAGGTAGCTCTGATGGGATGCTTGGAAGATGGGTGCAGGGAGCTCTAGTTGGAGGCACTGTTCAGGAGAGGGGCCAGTTGCACCATAGGGAAGCAGCTGCGCTGGTGCCGTTTGGGCCGATGATGTTGGGCAGGATGGTGAGGTGGTTGATGAAGGAGAGTCTGGACTAACCGGGGGGATCTGCCTGGTGTAGACGAGTGGGTGGCAGGCTGGTAACTGATAGATTAAAAACATGACAATCAGCACACTAACTAATGAAAACACATGGCTTGTCATTATGGTACATTAACTGTGACCCAAATTTGACAGTGAATAGCAGAGAATGCTCATGCTTACAAGGGAAACACGATCAATCTGTGGGTGTTGAGGTTTCCCTCTTTCCCCCGTACGTGATTGGTCAACGCAACACCTTTACCAGATGATGTCACTGACCAGTGCGGCAAAAGTTGAATCAGATCCAACTTTCTCACCACATGGGGTTGCATCATTTTACCAGAGACCCCTGCAGTGCTGGTGCCGTTTGCAGTGAATGCAATCCCCCATATGAATGCATGGAGAGGGCTGCATTTTTCCACACCTTTGAAACTCAGTCTGAACACAGCCTTAGCCTGCTTGAGGGGGAAGTTTGCATTCGCATACAAAGTCTTTAGCTGCAACAGGCAGGCCTGTTTAGGATGGATCAGTGAATGTATCTGCGCTTCACTGCCTGGAAATCAAGGTTAGTCAATTATTTCCTCAAAAGTCTTCTCCGAGATGTTTCCTGGCCCTGTGGACACTATGCTTTTCCTTTGAACCATCATGATAAGTAGCATCAGCTCCTGGTGACATCAGCTCAGCTGTCAGTCTGCTTTAACTTCTGGAAATTATTTGCACATACACTCAGCAGCCACTTTATTAGGTATACTTATTCAACTGCAAATATGTACTCAGCCAATCATATGGCAGCAACTTAGTGCATTTAGGCATGTAGACAGGGTCAAGACAGTCTGCTGAAGTTTAAACCAAGCATCTGAATGGGGAAAAAAGGATGATCTTAAACTTGATTTATGGTGCTGTGTTAAATCTAGCATTGGTTAACATGCAGCCTTTATTCTACACTGTAGCTTACGCAATTGACTGACGTGCACCTCTCCAGAAATGTAACTGCACATCAGTGACACAAACAACTGTGATTGCTTGCATCACATTTCATTGTTCATGCCTCTCATTGGTTGGACAAGCATGCAGAATTACCAGTCATTACAACCAAGGTATGCGGAAGAGCATCTCTGAATGCACAACACATCAAACCTTGATGCAGAAGACCACACCGGGTGGCACTCCTGTCAGCTAGGAACATCTAGGAGTGTCCAGGGGTGACCAGGTATGTGAGATGACGGACGCCTGTGAGTGTGGAGAACCATCCAGCAAAAACAAGGTGAAGACAAGAAGATGGCACAAGATTAGCAGCAATATCACACAGGCAGCCAACTAGAGAGAACCCAATGACTGCAGAAGGAAAAGCACACAGCCTGCTTTGGACAAAGAAATGGGTAGGGCAGAATAAACTTTAGAAAACCCTCAACCAGAAACTAAGCATATGCACACCAAAACCCAGCGATTACTCTCAGAACAAAAATACTCCCAGAGGGGAAAAGCCATAGCTGACCTTCACCTTGGCCAGGGGAAGCTGGAGCAATCCACAAATATACAGAGGAACCAGGGGCAGAACACAATCAGCACAACAGAGAAAATCCATAGACAGGCAGTCATCCAAAAAACCAGCGAGAGAGGCAGACATACAGCATAAGCATGGGCATCACAGAGGCATGAAATGGAACAAGTCAGTGTGTCAGGAACCCAAGAAAGCGGGAATTGCTGGAGAGTGCCATGCATCACGAGAGACTATCTGACATCTGTCAGAGAGATGCAGGCCACTTCAACAGCCAGGTAAATGGGCCACAGGTGGAGGAAGCAAACAAACAAGTCGCAGGTGGCATCATTGAGTAGGCTAATGAGTATACGTAAACAGACAGCTGTTACAAACCTGGAAGTTCACCAAAATAAAAGCTCAGGACCCGAAGGAAGGCAGCAACTATGAGACATATGAGTTGTATAGGTTGGGGAACTTGTTCTTCTGACCTCCTACCAGTATCCTGTATCAGTACTTTAAATTCATCACTTGTGCTCATGACAAATAAGGGATTTGGTTTTCTTTTTTATAATTAATGCTTGTATGTGGATTCAATTTGGCTTTACCACTAAGTACAGATGTTTACACTGAATATGTATGAGCTGGTGAATAGACCAAACTGCCAGATATCAAGAAAACATCATTTTTCTCTGCATCATCTTGAAAAATGATGTGCTAGAAACCTAAAAGTAGCATGACAGTTGAAAGATGACCAAATGTGATGATATCTACTTCCAACACTTGATTAGAGGGAAAGTTCCACACATTATGGATTTGTTTAAATATTTAGAAGCACTGCCAGGGGCTCATGATAATAGAAGCTTGACATCAAAGTGTAGCAGAGCTTTTAAATGGGACTAAAGGTTTCCAGGGAATAAAAAGATCCACCGGGCAGTGCAACATCATATCATATAAGATATTATGTGTCAACTCAACGTCGAGCAAGCACTTTCCTGTGTCAAAATCCCACTGCATGCATACATTCATGCCTCGTCTTGCATGCATAACAGCCATTCTAGTGCTGCCATGACCTTTAGTCGTCCCCAAGCCCCACATGGGAAGTGCCAAAAAGGTAAAACCTGCAGATTAATCACAATGCCTCCTGACACACAGCTCTAATTCCAGCCGCAGTGAAAAAGGCAGAACGGAAGAGTGTTCCAGCAATACTACCAATCGGATTACATTTTCTCCTGTTCCCAAAATGTGCAGATTGGAGATCAGACTGTGAAGATTGTCAAAGCTCCGTTCTGCAGCTCTGCTTCAGCACAGCTTCCTGCTGTCCCCCGATAAAAACATCTCTCCCATCTGCTCAGTGTCCTGTGTGTGTCACTGATGCATTTGGTTTGATTGTGCAGAAAGTAAATACCTACTAGAACATTCCATAAGCTATGTTCAAATAAAATTTACTTAACTTGACTTTTTTTTTAATTTTCCCTCAGCCTGTCACTCATGGCTCCAGCAACATTATTCCAAAACTAACCTTGTCAAAACATAGCAGAGTGTGTGTGTCTGGGCCAAAGCCCGAGGCCTCACACAGCTCAGCACATTTACATAAAGTGATGGTCAACTAGGCTGGTCTCACTAGACAGAGCCTCTATGGAAGATCTGAACTATGTACGGTTTGCTCCTCATTCTCAGGACAAGGAGTCATTGTGCAGTTTTGCAGAAACCATCACATTATGGAGAAGGAATTAAGAAAATTGTAAGAGAGAGATGTTTTTTATTTTACTTTACTCTCCCACTTCTTTACTGTAGGGATAATCAAGCCATACTTAAAAGTTGTCAGTTTCTAGCTACACTCAGTTTTAGCTTCTCCATTTTTATTTCAGGAGTTTCTACATTACTCTCCAGTTTCAAAATGTCTCCCTAAGACAGCACTGTCCCTTTAGAGCAGGGCTCCCCAACCTTTTGTTGTCACGTTTGGCGTGTACAGATGCCAAACAGAGGATGTGGTGAACTCAATTAAATAACCAGACGAACTGAGGTAACGAAAAGTTCTTTACTAGTAAACAAAACTAACAAAAGTCCAGGATATCACTTAGGTCGATAAGACAGTCCAGGGTCGGCGCCGGTTGACAGGTATATCCAGGGGATCCAAACTCGAGGTCAAGGGGAACAAAAGCAGAAGGTCGGTACACAGCAGGCGATCTGAATCTGAGAGGGCATAGACAAAACACGGTGGTCAAGAAACGGTAATCCTAGGTCAAACACAGAGAGTCAGGCAAGGGATAAATGCTGGAGAGTCAGAGCTGGGGTCTAGAACAATCTGGCAGCGTCCTGGTGGGAGGACGCTGCCTAAATAGAAGGGAAAAACAGGTGCAAACAATAAGGAGCAGGTGAACTAATGATGATTAAATAAAAGGGCCAAAAGTGAGGTGAAACAAAACAGGAAGTGATGAGAAAATAAAAGCCTGACAGGAAGCAAGAGGGGCAGGAGCGTGACATTTGTAACCTTAGGCCAACTTTTGATTGTAAAAAAACCAAAACAAAACAAAACAAGGATCACCTACCCGAATAAATGAGAAAAAAAAAAATACAACACAAAATAAATAAACATGGCTGCTCTAAGGTCCACTGGTTGAGCATGGCTGCTTCAAGGTTCACCAAGGGGGAGCATAAGGGCAGGGGGGACAGAGAAGCTGCTTTGTTTACAGAACCTACTGAATTCTGCTAGATGTAATATTTGTATATGTTTCTAAGAAAAATACCATAACAATGGATTTTAAAAATAAATTAGAAATAAAAAGGGGGGGGGGGGTGTGCTCATTTTCAGTGTGATAAACATTGAAAACAGCACATGCTAGTGGTAGGACAAATGAATACTGGGTTGTAGGTGGGTGTAGGTTTACATTTTATCCATATTTAGGGGAATAGTTCCTAAGGACTTGCAGCTATTTATTTTTTTTCCTTTGAACAGTGAAACTGTGTGTTTATATTTATTAAGGAGTCCCATCCTGTGGGGATTCGCTCCAGGGAAACAGAAAAAGTGGCACTGCAGGAATTTGTTTGTTGGGTCTCATGCAATTTGTATTTTAAGGTGTTCCCATTCGGAGACACAAAATCAGGGAGGAGAGAATGGAAATTTATACAAATACCCTCAGCACCGGATCTACTGCCGCTGTGACAGAGGGAACTGTGGCTGAAATTTAATGTCAGGAGAAAGCAGGTGTAAAATGAGGCACTGCTGACAGCACGGCAGCTGTTGTTCATCTGAAATCTCTTCAGAATTAAGAACACAATTGAGGAGGGAGAGGATGTTTTTAAATCGCATCGCTTGCCAGAGCAGAACATAAAAGGACTTTTACAGGCTTTCAGGTCAAATCATGCTTCACTGACTTAATGAAATAAAAGACAAGTTGAATGGCAGGCTACTTGATAGCAGCTCTGGAATATGTTTCTTCAACCATATTAAAGCCAAATCGCAGTAAACACTCTTTTCTACTCTTTCTTTTGGTCCACTCATGCATAGTAGGTACATGTTTACCTGCTGAAGCACATTCAAATTAACATAGCTGTGGCTGTGCTCATTTGCAGCATTAGTGTTGGTAAATACTCTAGATAAATTTAAAAATTGTGGTGCAGCAATATTTTTCACACCTGATGGTAATTTGTGACAGTTTAGTAAATATCCTCCTAGTGTCTTCCACATGAAGGTTAATATCTTTCTTGTACAGCAGGGTTTGGTGTCCCACAGTGTTTGCGTTTGAGTGCGTCTAGCTATGATAGTCATGTTTGCTTAAGCCGACACTTGGTCACACAAGCGAGGTCCACAAACCATAAGAAGGTCTTTGAAATTTGTTTCCAACTCTAAACAGATATCCATATTCAGACTAATTATTATAACACATAGTAAAGTTAAAATAATTTTTCATGTTATCATTTTAATTTCTGTTCACTTTGCCTTCATTCATAGGACCTTTATCAGCCTGCCCTTGATGCCAGTTCTTCAGCCTGAGCAGAGGCTGCATGGCTGCTCACTGACAGAGATCAGCCAGTGACGGGGATTGATCAAATTGATCTATACACCTACTTCATGCTGCTGCTGTTTTTAGAGCTTCAGAAATTAATGATAGCATTTTTGCTTACAATGTCATGAGGTCTGGGATCAAAACTGACTGACATCACCAACTACAAAAGTTACTCTGTAGCACTCAATCAAAGTGTATCACCCAGCATCAAGAGCACTGTCTGAAAACAATTTGCCGAGCTGGTGCCGTGGCTCAGAACTGTTTTATATCAGAGCAAAATATGCTCTTGTGCTCCAAAAGATAAAACTGGTGACTGTCTCTGTATTTCCCACTGTTCACAAGTCAAATCCTACTGTGTGTGCAGGCTCAAACCGAAAAACTATTAAGCCTCATTACTATGTCACTACTTTGTCACTGACACTGCCAGTAAAGTCTTTTCAAAGTAGAGCTGGTGACAAAGTGGTATATACTATATATAGATTTATGTGAAATTACTTTCAGATTACAAAGAGATATCTACTTTACAACAAGCCCTGGTTTACAGTGAAATTCAAGCAGCATTGTCATGCCAAAGAGGCCTACAGGAGTGGGGACAGAATCCTGTACAACCAGGCCAGGAACACACTGACAAGGGAGATCAGAGTAGCAAAGAGTAGCTACTGTGAAAAGCCAACCACCCCTTGTCTGTGTGAAGCCTACAGAACATCACTGGCTACAGGAACCCCACTTTGGAAAACCATCAACTGGCTGATGATCTAAATGTGTTTTACTACAGGTTTTAGAAGCAGAACTCTACACCACCCACCCACAACCAGCAGCTGCTCCCCCCATGATCACCGCCCTTCCCTCTGCTGCCCCCTACTGCTCCCTTCCCTCCAAACCTTCCAACAGTAGACTGAATGACTACAGTAGATAAGTTTCTAAATAATAATTTCTCTTTTCCTAATTGTATTCAGTCATTCAACTGTTCAGTTATGTTTCTAACTTACATGAAGACCTAAATGCAGTTTCAAAGGTTTGTCCACACTGTGAGGACAAAATCCTAATATTGCCAGAGGTTTCTTCCGTTAAAGGGAGTTTTTCCTTTCTTCTGTGGCCAAGTGCTGCTCAAGGGGGATTTGTTGAGTTTTCCTCTCTAATAATAATAATAGTAAGGTGACAGGGTTATTAAACAATAGACAAAGCAGATCAAGGCCACTTATAATAATATAATATAAAAGTTTAATTATACTTGCAGCAAGGGAGC